TTTATTAACTAAAATTTATGAGTTTTCAGGAAAACAAGTAAAAAAAAAAAAAAAAAAAAAAGAAGCCGAGAACCAAGGCAACTGACATCGACTGCTTGAAAGGGACATTGGACAATAGAGCTGGCTAGTTCCATTATGTAGTAATTGTATGTCTACTGAATACTAATCGAGGCCATTCTCTGTAATAAACATTTGAAATTTGTAGTTGTATGTCGAAGTATTGTTTTTATCTTCCTTTTTTCCCTTTTATCTTTTAAGTTTCAAGATACAGAACTATACAACGATTAACAGATCTATGAACAATAAATACATATATCCTTCTTGAACAACGTACCTTGTAATACTCACAGCAACGAAATGAGAAATAATCAATATTCCAAAACTATATATATCATCTCAATGAGAATTGGTTATTTAATTAGCCAATCTCAGAACTTGAAAGTGGGATAGGAAAATTCACATTTTCTAATGGAAATGTTAATCCCAAACAGAAAAAGCCATACTTTCAAATGAAGTGAACTACAACGATTTGACAAGCGTGAAAAGAAAAAGACCATCGTAGTCCTTATACTTTTTAGTCCCTATTTTTTATACTCTATACTTTGTTTACTCCATGATAACGCATCCGAAAAAGAAAAAAAGAAAAAAAAGAAAAATCAAATCCCTTGCATCTTAGAGCCTGTTTGGAAACCAGCTTTTAAGTCACTTTTTAACTTCTGAAAGTGTTTGGCAATCAAAAAAGGGCTTAAAAAAGTAAAAATCTGCTTTAAAAAAAGCCAAAAACCAACAAGTTGGTTAAACCCAACTTTTTCGAAATTGACTTACAAGCCATATTGCTTTGACCAAGGATATTATAATCTTATCCCTTATAATTTTTCTTAATCCCGAAATTACCTCTCGGTAGAAAATCCTAAAACATACATATCTTTCTTTTCTCCATTCTTGTTGCAGCATCTGCTTCCATAACTTTCCCCAACTTTATTATATTCTGAATCCTTATTAGTTAGAGGAACAAATTATTTTTCTTCCCTCTTCTGACATTTTCTTTAGATGTTTGCAATATTAGTCTTCAGATGCGACATACTTCTGCTCATTGCTCCTTTTGGTTTGGAGCTCTTGCTGGTGAGCTGGACGGTCGTCTACTTAAGAGTCATTACTTGCTCTTTTGAGTTTTATTTTTCTTTTCGTTTTGGAGCAACACCTAAAATGAAAGGTGGATAGATGCTTCAAAGCAAAAAGAGAATGAGAAAGCTATAGATTCTTGATTTGTGTAGTTGCTTCTTTCATATGGTTTAAGACTCACTCTAATTTGTTTGAGATCATTTCTTTATTAGTCCGTACAAAAATAAACTTGAAATTTATGGAAGTTTACTTGATTGAAAGCGGTGAAAAATGAACATTCAAGAATTATATTTATAAAAATTATCTAAAGTAATCAATTAGATTGAAATTAAATTAAAATATAAATTATTTTTTATTTTCATTAATTCAAAATTAAATTTCATTATAGTAATCAACTCCTTTATAATGTTAATAGCTTTAAGGATATTTTTGTCTTTTTAACAGAAAAATCAAACACTTCAACATCTTTTTTTAAGTTTCAGCACTTTTATCCAAACAGCTAACTGTTTATTTATAAAACAAGCTCCCGCACTTAAAAGCTGCTTTTAAGTATTACGCTTATAAGCTACTTTTTTTTCGGCTAATCCAAACGTTCTCTTATTCTCCGGCAACCAAAGAACTCACTAAATGCTTTTTATGAGATCCACTTTTTGTTTTTCATTTTGCTTTGCTTTTCTCCGACCACTAGTCTTTTATTTCTTTTCTTATATTTTTTTGCTTTCTTTACATGTCCAATTTTTTCTGTTTCTTTTCACTTTTTGACGTATGATGTCCAGGCATCCTTTGAAAAGTCAAGTTTCATTTCTAATGAGAAAATGTCGCAGCTGGTTAGGGTACAGTCCTAGTATTGATGCCAAAGTCTCTAACCCATGTGCGTGATCTACAGAAAAGTATAAACAACCCAACTTTCCGGCCAAACTGCAACATCAAAAGACATACACTAATTTAGTTCTAGAAAACATAAAGTCAGCTTCTATGCTCTACGCGTATTTTTGACACCAAACCTCCTAAACTTTTGGACGTTAGCCAGTAATTTATGGTTCAAAATACCTTTGAAACGAGTTGGGATCCATATTCATTTTACTAAGTTTGGTATGAACAAGGTTCCTCAGCCCGTGGAATAGGGTGTATCTTTGTCTTCCCCCAATAATTAATTAATATCATAATGCTACTAGAGAGAAAGTAACATAATATGAAGGATATATAGGCACAAGTGCGTATCTAATGTAAAGGCTACGGGTTCATCTAACTTTCGCTTATACCTTATATTTTAGCGCAAAAAATTATTAAATTTGTACAAATAATAAATTTTGAAGCCATTAAATTAGATGAGATGTGATAGAATTGTAAATTTGAACCCATAAAGTTCAAATTCTGGATTTACCTATGTATAGGCAGTATGATTAGTTAAGACCAGTTAGCTGATCACTTACAGAACAATTAATTTATTAAAGCAAGCAAGTTGAACCAACTTAGTTAAGGGAACCAATGATACACCAGAAATCATGCCCAGTTTGGTGGAAGGTTGAAGAGAGATATACTATCACTTTAATCCAACCCTCTTAAAATCGTGGACTTTAGGAGGAGAAAGAAATGAGTAGCAAATTTTGTCTAAGTTGTCTGCAGCCTGTTCTCACGTTTGTTATGTCCATTGCCAACAACCTGTTCTTATCTGGTAAAATTTTCCTTGTCTAATTTAAGTAAGATGCGAACCCCTCTAGACCCGCAGGGCCAAATAATAATCAGAATTTCCACAGTATTTTCCGGGACTAGTATGAATTGAGACTTAATTGTTGTTATTACATCTTTGGCACATTTTCAGGAGAGACTATCAGTCTCTTTCACAGTGAGTTCCCATTTTACTGTACTGACTTAGTTGATGATCTGCGTCTCTTGGGATTTTTTTGTTGATTGGGAATTGCATTTGTTCTAATTGGTTGTACAATTAGGTTAGTGTTGGGCTATCTGATGGGCAGTCCCACTTAGGCCCAAAACAAGAGCACAAGACTTAGTGGATCAACACAATTATTTATACTGTAGCTAATTATTTCTTTTGTAAATATACATACAGTTGGCTATTTTTGTAATTGGAAGACGGAAGTATAAATAGAAGTTGGGGCCAAATGTTTAAGCGGCTCATTTCATTTTATCTCTTTCCTTTCTTACTTTCTCTCTGAAGCAAACTCCATTGACGATTTCTTCAAATCGAGCTAATTCATGAGTATTAACATGGTATCAGAGCAGAGAAAACACATCTCCTATTCGTCCTCTATCGACCGATACTACCCGTGTTCAATTTTGTCCGGTTTTCGGCCAAGGTTTGCAATTTCGTTTTTTTATGAAAGTAGTTGGAGCGTGTTCTTTTGTTTATGGAACATTCATCGATGAAGTTGAAGATATCTTCTAGTTTGAGGTATTTATCTTTCAAAGAAGTTGAAGATCCTGTTCTCATATATCAGACCTAGGGTTTCTACACGACCTAGGAATTTTTTTGTGAGCTAATTTTTGGGGATTCTGTTAGCTGTCACCTTCTCAAGGCCTTTACTTCTTCATGTTGCGAAGAAGTTCGGTATTTCTTCTATCTCGCTGATTTCCATTTAAGAATATAGTAAATTTGTGACTTTGTGTGAATTTGTCATTGATATGGGTAGTTCCGGACCTAGTGCGTCTACCTCTGTGTGTACTTTCAATATTGATCCTTCTTCTCCATTGTTCCTCTCATCTTCCGATGTTCCTGGTATTTCCCTCACTATACCATTCTCAGGGGTTGGATTTGGAGGATGGAAACGCAATATGATAGTCTTCTTATCTGCTAGAAATAAAATAGGATTCATTGATGGGTCATGCATCAAACCTCCTGAAAACTCTCCTCAATATAGACAATGGGATCGTTGTAATAATATGGTCATTTCATGGTTCACTCATTCTTTGTCACCTGATATTGCTGAAAGTGTACAGTACTCAGAAACAGCTGAAAGTATATGGAAACAACTTAATAATAGATATGGGGCTGTAAATGGGACCAAGGTTTTCGAATTAAAAAGGCAACTTGCCTCCACTTACCAAGAATCTCTTGATATTGCCTCTTATTTCAATAAACTCAAGAAGGTTTGGGATGAACTGGGGTTATGTGCACCACTCATGCAAATTCATGTGTTTGTGCTACAAAAGAAGGTCTTCAAAGGAAGAAAGAGGAGGACAAAGTCCATCAATTTCTCATGGGTCTGAATGAGGTGTATATAGGGGTTAGGAGCAATCTGTTGATGATGCAACCCCTGCCCTCTCTTGACAGTGTGTATAATATTCTTCTCCAAGATAAAAAGCAAAGACAAGTGAACCCAAACCCTTCCTTTCAATCTGAGTCAGCATCATTTAATGTGAATTCTTTTTTAAATAAATCCATTCCACCACACTTTCAGCAAAAGCAATTCAATCCTCAAGCTCAACAAAGACAATTTCATCAAAGAGTAACTTTTGATCAGTCTAGAAATGCTGCTTATTGCAAGTATTGCACGAAACCTGGGCATATGGTTGAAAATTGTTACAAACTCATTGGGTTCCCCTCCAATTTCAAGTTCACCAAAGGAAGAAAGGGAGCAGCCAATATGGTTGAAAATTCTGATCTTCCTTATTCTGAATGTGTTCCTGCTACTCAGCCCACACAACCTAGTGTTAGTCAACATGATCATGGATCTGGGGTGCCTAGTCTGACCAAGTAACAGTATGATCAACTCATCTCTTTACTTCAGCAAGCTCATATGTCTGATTCTGGATCTTCACTCAATATCATAGCTTCTGCTAACTTTGCTGGTACATACTTGCCTAAAAATGTAGCATATAGTTTTAATTCTGCCTTGCTGACTCAGTCTGATTCCTTAACTTGGATAATTGATTCTGGTGCTTCTGACCATATGACATCAAATAAAGATTTCCTTATTAACATCAAACCACTACCAATTCCTTTTCTAGTTTCCCTTCCAAATGGTTATAAGGTCAAAGTTACTTGTACAGGGTCTTTTGTACTAACTGATTCTATTATCTTACAGAATGTGCTATATCTTCCTTCTTTCAAACATAACCTAATTTTTGTGCACAGACTTACTGAACAATTTGATTGCATAGTTTAGTTCACCAGAATTTCATGTATTCTACAGGGCCCTTCTCTGAAGAAGCCTATGGATCTTGGTAAACTGGATAATGGTCTATACAAGTTCATTTGGGAAAAACCTTCTCAATCTCAGAGTATTTTGCCTTCTGCTCACACTAGTAGCTTATCATCTTTGTGCACTTCTAGTTCTCCTTTCTCTCTTGTACAAACTGTTTCTTCCACATGTAATAAAGCTACTATAAATGACATGGATTGTGTCTGGCATAACATGCTTGCACATGTTCCTTTTGCTAAAATGAAATGTATTTCTGAAATTTCACATGTTATCTCATATGTTCAGTCTTTCCCTTGTGATATTTGTCCTATGGCATGGCAGACTAGAATTCCCTTTCCTGATAGCTCTATTCATACCTTTAAGCCTTTTCAATTGATTCATGTTGATATTTGGGGATCCTATCACACTCCCACTTATTCTGGTTCTAGATATTTCCTTACAATTGTTGATGATTTCTCTAGGAGTACTTGGAATCATCTTCTGGAATCCAAGAGTAATGCCTTTTCTCTTTTGAAGGCATTTGTTGCAATGGTTAAGACTCAATTTCATGTAACTGTATAAAACATAAGATCTGACAATACACTTGAACTGGGATCTAGTCATGTTGCCATTTCTTTCTTTTTCGAAAATGGTATTACTCATCAAACTACTTGTCCACACACACCCCAACAAAATGGTGTGCTGGAAAGAAAACATAGGACCCTACTTGAAGTATCTAGAGCTTTTCTTTTTCAATCTAAACTTCCTATTAAGTTCTGGGGTGACTGCCTTCTAACAGCCACATATATCATTAACAGACTCCCTTCCAGATTACTGCACAACAAGCCACCCTATGAAATCCTTTATAACAAACCTCCATATTATTCACATTTAAGAACTTTTAGTTGTCTTTGTTATGCTACTGTTCCAATACCTCAAAGAGACAAACTTAAACCAAGGGCATTACCTTGTGTCTTTCTTGGTTACCCTTTTGCCAAGAAAGGCTACAAATTATATAATTTACAATCCAAGCAGTGTTTTATCTCAAGGGATGTCACATTTTATGAGAACTTGCTTCTCTTTATTTCTGATTTTCTTTCCCTAACTCTGTTTCTCCTCAAATCCCCATCTCTGCTACTATTATGGATGATGACTTTCCACAAGCCTTCATTCCTTTTGTTGTTCCTCCCGCTCCTTCTCCTCATTCTTCTGTTGCTTCTCCTAATTCTTCTACTACTTCTGCTACTCCTCTCCCTATATTTTCTATTCCTTACAATCCTGATGCCTTACCCTCTACTCCTGTCATCTCTACTTCATCTATACCCAACCTTAGAAAGTCCACTAGAGTTCATAATCTTCCCCCTCACTTAAAAGACTATGTTCTGCAGTTTTCTTCTTCTTCATGTTCCAATGCCCAGCAGGTAGAATTTGAACCATATCACTACTCTCAGGCTGCATCTGTTCCAGCATGGCAGGATGCCATGAGGAAAGAGTTTGAGGCCTTACAGGCAACACATACCTGGGACATTATGGAATTACCTCAAGGTAAGAAACCCATAGGTTGTAAATGGGTGTATAAAATCAAGTATAAGGCTGATGGTAATGTTGAAAGATATAAAGCTAGGTTGGTAATTAGGGGAGATACACAAGTAGAAGGTGTAGATTTTAATGAAACCTTCTCCCCTGTAGTTAAAATGTCTACTGTCAAGTGTCTTATTGCTGTAGCTGTTAAAAGAAATTGGCCATTATTTCAACTTGATGTTAATAATGCATTCTTGCATGGTGATTTGGATGAGGATGTCTATATGAAGTTGCCTCCTAGTCTTGTTGTTTCTTCTTCTTCCTCTATTACTTTTCCTCTTTTGTTTGTAAACTTAATAAATCACTCTATGGGTTGAGACAAGCTTCTAGGCAATGGTATGCCAAGCTCTTTCAAGCACTATATTCCAAAGGTTACTCTTATTCCATGAATGATTATTCATTATTCATCAAAGGCAATCCTGGTCATCTAGTGGTGTTGGCAGTCTATGTCGATGACATAATCCTCACATGTGATGCATTAGATGAGATAAATGTATTAAAACAGTTCCTAGATCATGAGTTCAAAATAAAAGATCTAGGGTCTCTTCACTATTTCCTGAGAATTGAAGTCACTTCTCATTCTACTGGTGCTCTATTGAATCAGAAGAAATTCGTTCATGATTTATTACAAGAATACAACTGTTTGGATGTTACTCCTGTCATTTCTCCCTTAGAGTTGAATCACAAATTGCAAGCCAATGTTGGTGAATTGCTACCCCAACCTGATAAGTTCGGAAGTCTTGTTGGGAAGCTATTATTTTTAACCCATACTAGGCCTGACATTTGCTTTGGAGTACAACATCTCAGTCAATTTTTGAAGGCTCCCAGAGTCCCTCACATGCATGCTGCTCTTCATATGTTGAGGTATTTCAATGGAACACTTGATCTTGGGTTATTCTACTCTAGCTCTCCTAATTTTTTTATCTAGGCTTACTCTGACAGTGATTGGGCTGCCTGCCCTGACACACGTAGATCAGTCACTGGTTTTTGTATATTCTTGGGGGACAGCCTCATTGGTTGGAAATCAAAGAAGCAGCCAGTGGTTTCTTTGTCATCAGCTGAGGTTGAATATCGAGCTTTGAGTAAAGTAGTCGCTGAGTTAACTTGGTTATCCAGGCTGCTTCATGATATGGCTGTTCCTATTGTTTCTCCTATTTCTGTCTTCTTTGACAATGCAGCTGTTGTTCATATAGTCAAGAACCCAGTTTTTCATGAGCGCACAAAGCATATCGAGGTGGATTGTCATTTCATACGCACCAAGTTGCATGATGGGTTAATTCAATTGTCTCATGTATCTACTTTCAACCAACTTGCTGACATTCTCACCAAGCCTCTATCTGGAGTTCTTCATCATTCTTTTTTATCCAAGTTCAAGGTGTTACCCCTTTCCAACTTGAAGAGGGGTGTTGGGCTATCTGATGGGCAGTCCCACTTAGGCCCAAAACAAGAGTACAAGACTTAGTGGATCAACACAATTATTTATACTGGCCAGTTATTTCTTTTGTAAATATACATACATTTGGCTATTTTTATAATTGGAAAACGGAAGTATAAATAGAAGTTGAGGCCAAATGTTTAAGCGGCTCATTTTATTTTATCTCTTTCCTTTCTTACTTTCTCTCTGAAGTAAATTCCAGAACCCTAAAACTCCATTGACGATTTCTTCAAATCGAACTCATTCATGAGTGTTAACAGTTAGACCTCATCACCTGCAAGAATATTGTAAACTTTACAAAAAGGTTTTCGCAAGGATTTGGACAACGACTACCTCAAATTATCCTTAATCAAATTGGAGTACTAAACAAATACATACATAATATCTCCTCAAGTTTCGGACCTCACTTCCTTAGTGTTTGAAGTTTTACTAATCCCTTGACCAAGTGAAATTGATGCGTTACATCGAGCAAAAGTTCGGTCACTAGTTATAACGTATAAACTCAACTACAGTGTATACTTATTATTTACCTTATATGTTTTCTTGTCAATTTCGTCTTTTTCCCTTTAATTATGTTGGCTAGTCTTAACTATACTCCTTTCCATTTTGCTTTTTTTTTTTTTTTTTTTTTTTTTTTTTTTCATTTCCATTTTATTTGGTATAATGTACCTACCTTTGTCATTTCATAATTGTCTTCATAGGGGCGGCCCGTCCGTAAAGCAGGTAAAACAACTGCTTTAGGCCCCACATTTGTGGAGGCCCTATTTTTTTTTTCCACATCTAATAGGCTATATATAAATTTAAAAAAATGTTATGTGGTGAAAAAGTTTGATTTCTTTATTTAACAAATATAGAGATAAAGGATTTGCAACTGCTTTGATTTCTGCCAAGGAAATTGCATTTGAAATTAATATTGAACCCGAATTTCATAAGAAACGTGTAATATATATGAAGAAATAATTTGAGGAGAACGTTAATAGTGAAATTTCAAAATATCTAGAAGAGTCCTTTAGAGTTGATTATTTTTTATACATACTCCCTCTGGTCCATAATAAATGACTTTTTAACCTTTGTTGTGCCCCTTAAGAAAATATTGACTCCTAGAACAAAAATATATTTTGATGTAAATTATCATTAATTAAAATTTATATGTTGTTAACTTGATACATAGAGATATGTAAATAAGGGCAAATTTTGAAAAAAATAAAGTTAAATCCTTCTCGATTATATAAAAGGACACTTATTTTGAACAAAAATAAAAGCCAAAAAAGTCATTTATTATGGATTGGAGAGAGTAGTAGACAAGGTTATTTTTTCACTTTAAAATAGATTTGAACAATTAGAGGCATATGAAAATATTTTTGGTTTTCTATTTAGTGGTAAAAACTAAGATTACTAGATGATGAAAATTTGAAAAAAAATATTGCCTTCATCTTGAATGCTCCTTAAATCATAATAAGCAACCCGATATTGATAGTTTAGATTTAGTTTCTGCATTAAAAATATTAAGAAAAATAATACAATTAGAAGATATATGTTTAATTGATATACTCAATCAAATAAAAAGATTTGATTATTTTTCAGATGCCTATATTACTTATAGAATAATGTTAATAACTCCTATTATTGTTGCTTCAATGGAAAAAAGTATTTCAAAATTAGCTAAGATCGACAATGTCTCAAATATATTAAATGAATCAGCTATATTGTTAATTGAGAAAGACTTATTAGGAGAAATTGATTATAAAAATTAATAATAAGATCGACAATGTCTCAAATATATTAAATGAATCAGCTATATTGTTAATTGAGAAAGACTTATTAGGAGAAATTGATTATAAAAATTAATAATAAGATCGACAATGTCTCAAATATATTAAATGAATCAGCTATATTGTTAATTGAGAAAGACTTATTAGGAGAAATTGATTATAAAAATTAATAATAATTTTGCATCTAAAAAAGTTAGAAAAATAGACTTCAAATAAAAATAAAATATTTTTTATTAATAAACAAGTTAAGGCCCCTCGTAAAGTTTGACTTTAGGCCACGAAATTGGTCGGGCCGCCTTAGTCTTGATATCTCTAACCCTATTAATTATGCGCCCAAAAAATTACATAACAGACAGCCAATTAATCTGATGCATATTGTTTTAGAAACAACTATCACATCAAAATCTTGAGAAAGACCAATTAACAACCAAGTTGGTCATCAAAAATGGAAAAACAATTCTCTGTGTTTCCAGCTATCCTATTTAGAATTAAGTAGCAAGGACCAAAAGACGTGTAAATCATTTTCTATTCTTTCTTTCTATAATAGAAGGGAGAATGAGGCAAGCTGGGTGAGTCAGGCGTAGTTGTTCAAGTATTAACCATAATCTCGTCTAAAAGTTTAAATTATTTATAAGAACACGCTTTAATTTGTTTAAGTATGTGTTCAACACGCCTCCCACGTACACGAAGGCTTGATTCTATTAAATGTGCCGAGCATGTGGAGATTTTTTTGATAATGGATTGGATGGTGGTAACTCACTCAAATCCAGGACCAGAGGCGAGCTAGGATTTGA